ATCTCTGAGGGCGTTCCCAGGCACAGTGGGTCTATTATTGGTGATAATCCCTTACTGTATAAAGTAGAATAATTTATGAACCTGCATTCAGGGGGAAAATAGAATTGGGAATCAATGAAATCCAAGTGAGCAGGTTCCAGCTTCCCAGAGTGGCATTGTGTGCACATAACTCACAGAAGGAACCATGGGCAGTGTTCTGTGCCTGCCTCACTGCTGGGCTTAAATGAAGGATTAACTGTTGAGCTGGGCCTAAGAACAGCTCCCAGCTTCCTGTTCTGGAGTCTCCTCCTGCCTGTGGAAGAGCCTTTGATGTGGAGCTGCAGCGTGTCAGCACACATCTGCAGAGCCAGGCAGGATGTTTATGCTAATCCCACCTGCCTGCTCCATCCTATGGGAAACTCATTCCTTGGGAATCGTGGGGTGCAGCATCTCTTAAATGGAGTTTCAAGCAGAGCTGAAAGGGGGCAGAGAGACCAGATGTGCTCTGATAAGCTCTAACCCATTCCCAGCTGGGAATAAACAACAACCTCACCTGCTGCTCTTATTGCAGAGGCCAGCATCAAATCCTGAGCCTTAACAAGCCCTCTTTGTATTTCATGCCTTTAAAGCTGTTACTCCACACCGGTTTCTCCTCGTTTTCTGCTGTTTCACTGACTTTATTTGGAAGCTGTTGCCTGTTTTCCCTCCTCAGTGCTGCCCCCGGTGCTGGTGCCTCGGCATGCAGAGATTCCAGCAGAATTCCCTCCCCTGGATGATTACAGCCACTCCATCCCAGAGAACACTAACTTCCCTGCAGGTATCGAGCCCCAGAGCAACTACATTCCAGGTACCTTGTGTCTTCCATACAGGGAGGGGTGAGAGAACACAGGGAATCCTGCCTGGGGGATCCCAGACTGGGAATCTTTCTTTCCATCCTTCCTCTGGAGCTACAGAGTGCAGAAATAGCTGGAAATTCTAAATGTGGGCACTCAACAGGGCTGTTCGTGGCTCTGTTTTGTTGGTTTTAAACTCATTTCTTCATTCAGTGCTACAACCTCAGTTTATTGTGAAATCTAAACTGGATGTTCCCTTACCAGGTTGAGATTTGAATGAAATTCAGCCATTTTGAGTAAAACTCTCCAAATTTCTGATGGAGTTGAGCTCTTCTATTTATGTATCTCTTTTACAAGCAATTTACACCTTATTTGCATGGAAAAGTTATGCAGCTGCACTGCAGGAGAGGAGAAATATGTGGACAGAAAACTGCCTCCATGGCTTAAAGTTTCATGGGACTGAAAATCCGGATTTTTTTGTTTTCCCCCCCTCCTCTGTTATTCACAAATATGGATATCACCCTGGCTGTGCTGGCTCCTCCCTCCAGCAGCTTGAGAAAGAAAAGTAATAAAAAAGATGTTGAGCTCCTTGTGCATGACAAAATGAATGTTTTTGGTGCCTAAAATCCAGATTTTCAGTTGCACTGACAGTGTGATGGTTTTGTGCCTCCAGAGACCCCTCCTCCAGGCTATTTGAGTGAGGATGGAGAAACCAGTGACCATCAGATGAACCCCAGCATGGATGCAGGTGAGTCACCTTTGGGCTTTTCATTTTGTAGCTGTATCCTAAAGGAAGTTGAATGTCCAGGTTTTCTCTCATTGCCACAAAAAGAAGTAGCCAGGTTTGGAATGAGGGTACCTAATTTATGTTCAAATAATCCATATATTATGTTCAGATAGACTATATTAATGTTCAGATGTCATGGACTTTCCTCATTGCAGAAAAAAAAAAAATAAAGGAACCAGCTCAGAACAGTGTGAAAGGAAAAGTAAAAATGGGCTGCACCACTTGTCTGCATCCATGGGACATCCAAGTGCAGATATTGAAAATATAGGCCCAGAATTTGTGGCAAATTTCCATGATTGAGGATAAAATTCTGACAGCTTTTTGGTCAGATCTGTGTAACCTGATCCAATCACTCCATTGTCCCAAACCCAGCAGGATTGGGAATATAAAGTGTTATGGTTTTAATTTTATTTTGTCTGGCAGTGTACACCCAAGCTCTTTAATACCCAGCTAACTGGGTTTGTCAGGATGGTACCTGGAAGTAAAATAACCAAGTGCTGCTCAGTTTGGAAAAGAAATGGGTTAAACTTCAGTGAATTCCCTGTGAAGGGGCAGCAAGTTGATATTTGTGTAAGGAATAATGAACATGTCAGAAATGAGACTGCAGTGAGCTGGGGGTTGTCCCTCCAACAAGCCTGGGCAGCACTGCAGATCCTGTGAATGTTTTTCCTGGTGCAGATTCCATGGCAATAATTATCCCTTCTTGATTTTCAGGTTCTCCAAACTTATCACCAAACCCCATGTCTCCAGCACACAACAATTTGGGTAAGCACATGATCCTGGGAGCTGGGTGTAATTACAGCCAAGAGGGTGACATTTGAATGATGCTGTTGAGGTTGTGCACTTTTTTCAATATTCCAATGGTTTTAAAACTGCCAGAGGGCAGCTTTGGATTGGATGTGAGCAGGGAATTGTTCCCTGGGAGGGTGGGGAGGGGCTGGGATGGAATTCCCAGAGAAGCTGTGGCTGCCCCTGGATCCCTGGAAGTGTCCAAGGCCAGGCTGGAGCACCCTGGGATAGTGGAAGATGTCTCTGGCCATGGCAGGAGGTGGAACTGGGTGTGATTTAAGGTCCCTTTTAATCCAAACCTGCCTGGAATTCTGTGATTCTGTGAGACTGAGCATGGTCTGAGCAGAGAGAAGTAGAGGAGATTGGTTGGAGAGTCCAAATAAGCAGGGAATGTGCAGGAATGTCAGTGAATGGAGAGGCCATGGAAGCATTCCTGGAGCACCAGAGGTGTTGGTGAGTGGGGGGGATGCACAAAGCACAGATGCAGGGCAGGGTGGTTGT